TCTCTCCCTGGACATCCAGAAGTTGAGTGGGCCTGACGGAATCCCCCCAATTGTGCTGAGGACGTGTGCTCCGGAGATGGCACCGGTCCTAACGCGTCTTTTCCGGTACTCCTACTCCTAAGGCGTAGTCCCGAACTCATGGAAGACAGCTTTTGTCCACCCGATCCCTAAAAAAGGCGACCGCTCAGACCCGTCCAACTATAGGCCTATCGCGATCACCTCCTTGTTCTCCAAAATAATGGAATCCATTATTAACTGCCAGCTTATCCGGTACCTTGAGGATCACCAGCTGATTAGTGACCGCCAATACGGTTTTCGTCGGGGTGGATCAGCTGGTGATCTTCTGGTCTACCTGACCCATAGATGGGCGGACGCAGTAGAGTCCAAGGGGGAGGCGTTGGCCGTTAGTCTGGACATTGCGAAGGCCTTCGATCGGGTTTGGCACAAAGCGCTTCTTTCGAAGCTCCCTTCCTATGGGCTTCCCGAGAAATTGTGCAATTGGATCACCAGCTTCCTTGCAGATCGGAGCATCAAGGTCGTTGTAGACGGTGCATGTTCTGACTACAAGCCTATTAACGTTGGTGTTGCACAAGGCTGTGTGCTATCACCAACACTGTTTCTTCTGCATATCAATGATATGTTGCTAACTGGTAACATTCATTGCTATGCGGATGACAGCACTGGTGATGCTCTATACACCGGCCGTGCTATATTTCTCGGGAAAACGTCGCCGAGTACCGGAACAAACTTGTGTCTGAAGTCGAGTCTTTGCTGAACAAAGTCTCGGATTGGGGGCGACTAAATCTAGTCCAGTTTAATCCTCAGAAGACACAAGTTTGCGCGTTTACCGCTTAAAAGAACGGAAGTATCCTCGGAGTCGACATATCGAGTGACGTGCAGTTTCGTGGTCACTTGGAAGAGAAGGCCAAATTGGCCTCTAAAAAGCTTGGCGTGCTCAGCAGAGCGGGACAGTATTTCTTGCCGGCACACCGCCTGCAACTTTACAAGGCACAGGTTCGGCCTCACATGGAATACTGATTCCCATCTCTGGGCAGGGGCTCCCCAGTGTCAGCTCCTTCCACTTGACCGCATCCAACGCAGAGCGGCTCGAATCGTCGACGACCGAGCCCTTTCCGATCGGCTCGATTCATTGGCACTGCGAAGAGATGTTGCATCCCTTTGCATTTTCTTTCGCATCTACCATGGGGAGTGCTCTGAGGAATTGTTCGGATTAATCCCAGCCGCCAAATTTCCCGAACGCACATCGCGGCAGAACTCCCGATACCATCCACACCATCTGGATGATTGGCGGTCCACCACTGGGCGATTTAGAAGATGTTTTCTTCCTCGCACGACTTCCTTGTGGAATCGATTACCATCAGCGATTTTTCCGGACCGATACGACTTAGGGACCTTCAAGAAAAGAGCGTACTCCTTTTTAAAAGGCCGGCAACGCATCTGCAATCCCCTACCTGGTGATGCAGTTGTTCATGGGCGGCGGTAGTCACTTACCATCAGGTGAGCCGCATGCTCGTTTGCCCCCTCTCCTATAAAAAAAAATGCTAACAAAGTTCTAGGGTTCTCTAATCGTTCTGTAACATTTTCGGCGTTGAAATATATACGTTGACCGCCTTCAAGATGAACATCCAGATGAGTCACAGGTGGATCATCATCATCATCATCATTACAGCCCTTCACAAGTCCACTGCTGAACATAGGCCTCCCCCAAAGAATGCCACAAAGCACGGTCCTGAGCCACCTGCATCCATCGACTTCCTGCATGTCTTACCAGGTCGTTACTCCATCTCGTGGGGGGACGCCCTACACTTCGCCTACCGGTACGAGGCTGCCACTCGGGAACCTTTCTTCCCCATCGGTTGTCGGTTCTTCGAGTTATATGGCCGGCCCACTGCCACTTCAGCTTACTAATCCGTTGGGCTATGTCGGTCACTCTGGTTCTACTGCGAATATCCTCATTCCTAAGTTTATCACGCAGAGAAACTCCGAGCATAGCCCTCTCCATAGCTCGCTGAGCGACCTTGAGCTTCCTCATACGGCCAGCAGTGAAGGACCACGTCTCAGTTCCGTAAGTCATCACTGGCAACACGCACTGGTTGTACATTTTCGTTTTAAGGTTTTGAGGTATGTCTGACGAGAAGATGTGTCGTAGCTTCCCGAACGCTGCCCAGCCGAGTTGAATCCGTCGATTGACCTCTCGGTCGAAGTTGGACTTACCTAGTCGGACTATTTGTCCCAGGTAAACATACTCGTCAACAACTTCGAGCTTAGTGCTCCCAACAACTACCGGCATAGGTGTGACACGGACATTAAACATGATCTTTGTTTTGTCCTTGTTCATCTTAAGACCTATCCGTTGGGAAACACTATTGAGGTCATTGAGCATAGTGCTTAGGTCCTCCAGCGATTCTGCCATAAGGACTATATCGTCGGCAAATCGAAGGTGAGTGATGTACTCGCCATTGATGTTGATACCGTATCCTTTCCAGTCCAGAAGCTTGAAAACATCTTCCAATGCAGCGGTAAAGAGTTTCGGGGATATGACGTCACCCTGTCTTACACCTCTCTGCAATTGGATAGGTTTCGTACTCTGGTTCTGTACTCGGATAGCCATCGTAGCCCTACTGTACAAGCACTTCAACACTTCGATATACCGACAGTCAACTTGGCACCGCTGAAGGGACTGCCCAAATTTCGACGGAATCAAAGACTTTCTCATAGTCCACATACGCCAGACATAGTGGCAAATTGTACTCTTCGGACTTCTGTACAACTTGCCGAAGGGTATGTATGTGGTCTATGGTGCTAAAGCCCTTTCGGAAACCGGCTTGTTCGGGAGGCTGGAAGTCGTCAAATCTGCGCGCGAGACGATTCGTAATGACTCTCGAAAACAGCACGTAGACGCGGCTCAGAAGGGAAATCGGTCTGTAGTTCTTCAAGAGAGCGTTGTCACCTTTCTTGAAGAATAAGACCACCGCACTTCTGCTCCACGCCTCCGGTGTAATGCCACCATGCAGGACGGAATTAAAGAGCTTCTGAAGGACTTCAAGTACCGGTCTTCCACCCGCTTTCAGAAGCTCCGCTGTAATTCCATCCTCGCCTGGGGCCTTACCGTTTTTAAGGTGCTGGAGAGCCATCCTAATCTCGCTCAGACTGACATCCGGGATATCTTCGGAATAGTGTCGGATGAGACTCGCTCTTGGATCGTTACTCACACTTGCGTGTGGCTCCAACGATGATGTGTACATCTGCCCATAGAACCTCTCAATCTCACTCAAAATCTCAGGTGCCCCGGAAATGATGCTGCCACATTCGGTCTTCAGCTTTGACAGTTGGCTCTTTCTGGCAGACAGATCTCTGGCAAAGACTTTGGAGCCTTGGTTCCGCTCGATCGCTTCTTCAATACGAGCTGTATTGAAGTTGCGAAAGTCCCGCCGCATGCATTTGGAGATCTGTCTGTTCAGTTGCCTGTATGCTGTTAAATCTGTTGAAGAATGTAGCTTCATCTCCCGTCTAACAGCCATGAGATTAAGAGTGTGATCGGAGAGTTTTTGTGTTCTTCTGCGGCGGGTCTTGCAGAACTTAGCTCCGACCGCATGGACAGTTTCCACGAGCTTGTCATTCAAATCGTCCACTTCATTGCAGTCTTCTAGGCACTGAAAACGGTTTTGTAACTCGAGCTGAAAGGTTTCGGGACTTTGGATTAGAGCACGAGGGGGACGGAGCGTTGACTTCATTAGACGAGACCTCTCCAACTTAACGTTTAGGTTCAGTGTGCCTCTAACCATTCGGTGATTGCTGCCGGTTTTCACCCTCGCGATCACTGAGACATCACTGAACAGTTGTCGTCTGGTCGTCATAATGAAGTCAATCTCATTTTTGTCGAACCGTCGGGGCTCGACCAGGTCCACTTCCTGTGGGGCCGCTTCTGGAAGAAAGAGTTCATCATAAATACTCCCTCTTTCTCCATGAAGTCGGCCAGCTGCTGGCCCCTTGGGTTCCGTTGCCCTATTCCAAATTTCCCCACTTTCAGCTCACCGTTCTCTCTTGTGCCTAGTTTTGCATTGAAGTCTCCCATTAACTCCGCATATTGGGTATTGGAGGAATGCATGGCTCTAGAGATATCCTCATACATTTCCTCCACCTCCTGATCGGGGTGTGCCGAGGTTGGTGCGTAAACCTGTATGACCTTCAGCGAATACCGTTTGGTGATTCTGAGTATAAGGTACGCAACCCTCGTCGACACACTCTCAATCTTTACAACGTTGTTAACGAGAGACTTGTGGACGATAAATCCGACACCTCCTTGGGACAGATGGTCGCCCTCCCGGTAATAGAGCAAGTTGCCGGATTCGAGGATTACCGTGTCCTCCCCCTCTCTTCGGACTTCGGATAATCCTATAATATGCCAGCGTAACTTGTCTATCTCTTCTTCCAGCTCCACAATCTTCTCGTCAGTCCTCAGGGTGCGTGCGTTGTATGTTGCCAGGTCGAGTCGTCGTAGGTGGCAACCGAACTTCCACCGGAGATTCTTAGCACCCCCTACCCCGCCGTTACCATGGTCACCACCGTAGCCTGGAATAGCGGGGCCGCCGGGGACTGGGGGCCGTTTCTTCGTAACTTTCATCATGGGGGGTATATTGCCATAGTTGCCACGCTTGGCGAGCGGGTTGGCAACCGCAGTTTTTTTATTGTAATTTGGCTATTATCAGAAAGATGCTGCTGCCCATCTCCTGCCTGTTTCCCTTTGTCGCCTTTTACGACACCCATGGGAGGATATGGGGTAGTGGATATTCTTGACCGCCACTACACACACACAGGTGGATATCTTTCGTGAATGTTGAAACTTAAGATCCGCCACACAGCTTCTGAAGAGCTGATATATCTGCCTGACTGAAATCTAGTAACTTCATCATGTTCATTTCTCATCGCAAATGTAGCTTGGTCACTGCCCTTGTTAATATACTTATGAATATATTTTATTGACTCTACACTATTACACATTTCAACATTTATGTGAGCTTGAAATGCTCTATACATCACAGGCGAATACGGAACGACCCACAAATTATCTAAAGTAACCTGTTGTCCAGACACTCGCTTTTCAACAGTAAAACCACCATTGTCTCTTGAACGGCGACGATATAATGGGTATCCATCATGTCTTGTTACAGTTTCATCCACTAATGCTTTTGGATATCTTTTAGTGCAACGACCGACTTGCATGCAAGGAGCATTGCCGTTAAATGCACCACATGGACCATGTATCATATGAGTTTTAACAATGTCGTATAACACGGGATCTGCAATCGGATCTGGAATTTCAGCACTGATTGAACTGTCTACATCATTAGGTCGAACCTTATCTTTTAACTAAAGTAGGATATGTGCGTGAGGTAAGCCGCGTTTTTGCCACTCAACACTATACATACAACACATTACATCTCCAAAAATGTTATCTTTGGTAAGTAGATCTATCATTGATTTTAATTTTAAATAAAAAACTCTTGCGATAATATCATGGCGGTCATGCGGTGCGTGACCCTCAATAAGCTCCCGAGTGATTTCATCCCACTTGGGATTGGTAGTTACAGTAATAAATAAGTCTGGACGTCCATATTTTCTTACGTAACAAAAAGCATCTTGAGTACGTTCGTGCATGTAGCGTGGACCACCAGTAAAAGAAGAGGGTAAAATAACTAAACGGCCCATATTCACCGTATCATCTTGCTGCATGGCGTCGCGAAGGTGCACGTATTCTTCAGCGCGCAGCTGCCTTTGATTAGATCGTATATAAACTAATCTTTCGGTTTCAATTTTTGCATACATGTCAACAATAAACAGATTGAATAAGCCACGAAAACGTTGAAAGTATACAAATCTATTCCGTCTCACTTGCAAGTGGTAACAATAAAATTGAAGGCATGACATCTTTTTATTATAATTAGGTGTGCCTGTACGCGGATCAGTTTGGTATAAAGCCAAATTATAACCATCTTCCCCTCGAGAGTATATCAAAGGATATTGCAAACTGTCGTAAGCCCTGTGGGTTTCGTAAATACGTTGCAAACGATTGTCTCTGGAACGGATAACGATATCACCCCTACCACATTCCTGGTCGACCAATACTACAGCAACTTCATTCGTGGATGGAACGTTATAACGCCCAGGGTGTTCCTGAGTTGGACGCCTATCGGCATTTTTAACAATTTTATAATTGTTATCACCATCTTGAGAAAGAGCTTCTAATGCCGATTTAAAACTGCATACATACGAATTAACCTGATGCAACATGTTCTGAAGTTGTGAAATAAGTTCAGTATTTAAATTCGGGAAATATTGATTTCTTATATTCGACTGTTCGTTGTAGTAGGATACAAAATATATTTAAAGAAACTTAGGTTGGTCTTCAGGCAAAAGGGATCCTATCAAATGGTAAACCTGACCTTGTATCTTAAAAATAGGCATGAAAGGACCTTCTGAGATTTGTTGAGCACCAAAGGATGTCTTTTGAAACGTACTATTATAAGTGCGAATATTGTCTAAGAACGGTTTAGATTGCACATGTTCCCCTAAAAGTAGTGACTTCAAAGGTTCCGGTGGATCTTTGAACGAAGGCAAATTTATTTTACCTCCAGAACAACAGAAACCAGCCGACTCCTTACTCCACTTTGAAGCATTACAAAAAGAACATACTACGTTCATATCGCCTATTACAGAAGATGATCGATCAATTGTGAGGTTATAAGCAAACCCTCTTTTATATTTGTCGGACCACGCCACCGAATTTGTAGATTGATCTTCTATGTGTACATCTAAGTCATTAAGACTATGTCGAAATCTGTCTGCAGTAAGACGGGCCTCTCGCTGTTCGTCCGTTTCAAGAGACCGAATATTTTCAATTCTTAATCTTTCATTAGACAAACTTATTAATCGTTCTTGTCTCAAAGAATTGTAATATTCGCGTCCCGACTCTAGTCGTTGTTCATGCCCATGTACATCTTCAAGAGATCGAATAATATTATGGTGCACCCTATCATTTGTCAAACGGTGTTCATATTGAGTAAAAGTTTCAGATTCTCGAGGTAAAATATGACGTTCGTGATCAGCTGTTAGACGTAATTCCCTCTCAGTGTAGGTTTCGGACTCGCGAGATAATGTATGCCATTCGCGGTCAGCTGTGAGACGTAATTCCCTCTCAGTGTAGTTTTCGGACTCGCGGGATAGTACATGCCGTTCGCGATCAGCTGTGAGACGTAATTCCCTCTCAGTGAAGGTTTCGGACTCACGGAATAGTACATGCCGTTCGCGATCAGCTGTTAGACGTAATTCCCTCTCAGTGTAGGTTTCGGACTCGCGAGATAATGTATGCCGTTCGCGGTCAGCTGTGAGAGGTAATTCCCTCTCAGTGTAGGTTTCGGACTCGCGAGATAATGTATGCCGTTCGCGGTCAGCTGTGAACCGCAATTCTCGTTGTGAAGCAGTTTCAGCTTCTCGGGATAACACATGTTGTTCTCGGTCAATGGTAAGCCTTAACTCTCGTTGAGAAGAACTTTGAGACGCCCGTGATGTAGCTCGTCTCGCTCTGTCAGCTGCTAAGCGCATCTCTCTTTCTGGAGAGCTTTCATTGGCTCGAGAAGTTGAGGCACTATCTCTCATAGAGTTTAACCGATGCGCTCTTTCCTCTGCCGATTCTTGAGAACGCACATTTCTCATTCTCTTAGCTTCTCTCGAATTTCGATATAAAGATATTCGTTTTAGGTGGCATTGTGTATTTTATTTTTAATCGATGGCATTCAGTTACCTAACAAAATAATCTACGTTAGAGGTCCTAACTATAACTACCATACACTTAAAAAAATCTAAATGCCTACTTAAATAATAAAACGGATCCTAAATAAATCCTTAAATCCAAAATTAAATTCTTAAAAATATATAAGTAGGTACATAAACTACGTCTAATAGAATGAAATAACCTATTTGATACCTAGGTACCTATTTAAAACTACAGCTAAATAAAAAAACGTTTAATTTATAATTAAGCTAATACTAAGAAATATTTACAGCGGAGCTTCTGAAAGCGAGTGGAAGACCGGTACTTGAAGTCCTTCAGAAGCTCTTTAATTCCGTCCTCCATGGTGGCATTACATCGGAGGCGTGGAGCAGAAGTGCGGTGGTCTTGTTCTTCAAGAAAGGTGACAACGCTCTCTTGAAGAACTACAGACCGATTTCCCTTCTGAGCCGCGTCTACGTGCTATTTTCGAGAGTCATTACGAATTGTCTCGCGCGCAGACTTGACGACTTCCAGCCTCCCGAACAAGCCGGTTTCCGAAAGGGCTTTAGCACCATAGACCATGTTCCGTATTTGATGTATTTATTTTCTTTTCATTAATGGTTCGGTATAATTTTATAACTAGAAATAGTACAATTTGAAAGGAAAACATCTCGTCTTACGTATAACATTTCGAATAAATATTTTTTCTTACTGGCAAGCACTCTTTAACTTTGAAGCGAGCAACCCTTTTTTCAACTACACCCGCAACGACCACTAGTAACGGCCAACTTCCTCGTCAACGCAAGCATTAACGCTTTTGACGGTACCTTGTATGCGCGCGTTCCGTTACCAGCAATAGATAAGATCTCATTTCCCTGCTCCATCGAATACTAAGGCAGCTTTCCATACCTGACCTGTGGATAAAAGAACAATAGTGGACACATTCGGCCAGAAGATACATCACACCGGGCCGGTAAACGTTGGGCAGCTCAGAAATTACCCAGGTGAGTGTTTGCCAGGTCTTATGTACATAACATAATTGTTTTTTGGACCTTGCGAGCCAAATCTTTCCTTTCAAATCGTGCTGTCTTAGTAAGAGTGTTATCTTTAGTTTCACACACACTTTAAATTTTAAAATTTAACGTACATACGTACTTTCACCGACGTGTCGTATAGGCCATCTTTGCAATGCAAAATGCCGGATCCAGCACGAGTTGAAGAATTTATGTGTGATGTTTCATGCGAGCAGGACATGTTCGAACGCGATATTATTTTAGATGATTTAAAAAGAACATTACAGTTCGCAACGACCGATGAACAAAAGTTCCGTTCGCGAACTAAAGATCTTACTGCACAACAAAGAAAGTTTAGTAAATTACAAACTAAAATAGAAAAATGTCTAATAAAGACAAAAATGTTCAACAAAGATGAACAAATTAAAATTCGTAACGATTTTGATGACGCATACTACGCTATTGTCACGCATCTGAGCAAATTAAAACAAGATGACGAACAAGTCAGGCGTATGAGTAGGTCTTTTAACTCCGAATCGTTTGCACAATCCCACAATCCAAAATTGCCTAAAATTCCCTTGCCCAGCTTCTCGGGTAATAGTACTGACTGGAATTCATTTTATGACTTATATATTTCACTCGTACATAACAATAATGCCTACACGGATGCGGAGAAATTCAGATATTTACTCCTTACTTTAAAAAATGAACCTTATAATTTAATTAAATCAATTCCCATTACCGACGCGAACTATTCTGTAGCCTTACAGGTATTAATTTCGCGTTATGAGAACAAAAGAATTATAGCTTCCACTCATCTCGACAAAATTCTCGATGTTGAACCTTGTTCAGAAAAATCAACAATCAGCTTACGTAATTTACTAAACATTTACCAAGAAAACATTAAAGCACTTGAAGTCATGAAATTTCCTACAAACGAATGGAGTTTTATCTTATTAACGATTTTACTGCGAAAAATTCCTTCATCTATCCGCAAACGTTTTGAGTTATCATTAAAATCACCATCAGAAATTCCTGATATCAACACACTAATATCCTTTTTGGAGCGGGAGTTGTCTGCAAGCGAAATTTCTCATCCTAATTTCGGTCAGATTACTAAACACGAGGGTCAATCAAAATCAAACGCACCATCAAGCAGCGGCGGTAGCCGCACGACGGCATCTCCGGGCGCACGCCGTATATTTATAGGAAACAACACATCACAGCCTGTTTCAGAGTCTGCATATAATATTCCAAACAAATTTCCGAGTGTTAAATATTTCCATTGTATATGCTGCGACGCCCAACATACACTAACTAAATGTCCGACGTTTTTAAACCTATCACCCAAGGAGCGCTATACATTTATTAGTGGTAAAAACGTTTGCTTTAATTGTTTACACGTTGGACACGACGTTAAGCAATGCAGATCAAATTTTATGTGTCGGACGTGCAACAAACATCATCATACGCTAATTCATTTCGATAATCAATCTTATGTAGGTGCTACCGAGACAGCTGATCCGCATGACAGCTCCGCTTCACTCCCTCCTACAGCGTACGATCCCGCCACTTCGAGCGATTCTCAGCTGGTTATGACGTCGATACATCACACGACTCGCGACGCTAGCGCGCAATCTAGTTCTGCTCCGTCAGTACGAACGAGTACAGTGTTACTGTCAACAGCGCTCATCGATGTTTACGTAAATAATCATAAGCGATCGACCGTGCGTTGTCTCATAGATTCGGGAAGCCAGGTTTCCTTTATTAGTGAGGCGTGCGTACAACGTTTGGGCTTAGCGAGAAAACATGTCAATATTCCTCCTGTTTACGGAATCAAAGAAAACAAACCGGTTTATCCAAAGGGTTTAGTTTCGTGCTATATTACACCAAAAAATAAAACACAACCTTCGGTACAAATCGATGCCTTAATCTTACCGAAGCTTATTACTACACAAATGCCCCCTTGTCAATTACCTTATAAGGAATGGTCACACATTAAAAATTTGACGTTGGCTGATCCCGATTTCTTCACACCACAACCCGTAGAAATGTTACTTGGAGCGGACATACTTCCCCAAATTCTATTAAACAATACGGTGACTGGGCCTCCTGGTACACCCATAGCAATAAATAGTATTTTTGGATATTTACTGCTAGGCAAGCTAGATTTTAATATTCATTCACCCGTTTCATTCCCAGTTCAAGTGTTTCACAGCTCGGTTAACGATGAGTTTGATCTTCAACGCTTTTGGGAAATAGAATCAATTACAGAACAAAGGTCTCTCACTCCCGACGAAGTTTTGTGTGAGACAATTTTCGAAAACACGCATACGCGTAATGATACAGGACGATATGTAGTCGCTCTGCCTTTCAAGCCTGACGCCTTGCTCCTTGGTGAGTCACGTGACATTGCTATCGCTCGATTTCGCAGATTAGAATACAAGCTTGAACGCAATCCGCCACTGAAATATAGTTATCATGCATGCCTCCAGGAGTACTTGGACCTTGATCACATGGAACCTTGTGATGGCCTTTCACCTAAATCTGGTGGCTCCTATTATATTCCGCACCACTGCGTGGTGAAGGAATCTAGCGAAACAACAAAAATGCGAGTGGTCTACGATGCAGGTTGTAAGACTACCCATGGGAACTCCCTGAATGATGTTTTGTTTACAGGACCCAAACTCCATCTGGATATAGTCGACGTTCTACTGAAGTTTCGAATTCATTCTATTGCCTTCACAGCTGACATTAAACAGATGTACCGCAACATTTTAGTCCGTGACACAGATAGGGATTTTCAGCGTATCGTATGGCGCACTTCTCCTGACGAACCTATACGTGACTATCGCCTTCGTACTGTAACTTTCGGAGTTAGTTCCTCGCCTTACCTCGCACTTCGTACAATGCGACAACTTGCGCTTGATGAAGCCACTCGTTTCCCACGTGCTTCTCAAGTCATAATAGGTGACATATTCGTAGATAATATAGTGTCAGGCGACAATACGGAGGCAGAAGCTCTTGCTCTACAACAGGAGTTAATAAGCATATGTCAGGCTGCCGGCTTTATTCTTCACAAGTGGCACAGTAACTCGCCTGCGTTACTCGCTGCGGTTCAGCCCACAAGTTCTCATGGTGAGCGGCACCATTACGTACCTTTTGCGGAGATGGAAAATGACATGAAAATTAAAGTACTTGGTCTTCAGTGGAACTCAAATTCAGATTCATTTACTTTCAGTGTTCAAATTACCTCTAACAAATGTACTAAGCGTTCGATTCTTTCAGAAATTGCTAGAATTTATGACCCACTTGGCCTTTTATCGCCAGTCACCATTTTTGCTAAGCATTTAATCCAGTTGTTGTGGACAGCACGTGTAGATTGGGACGAACACCCACCCCAAGATATAATAAATTCATGGGCCAGTTTTACTAACGAGCTTCCACTCTTATCGAAAGTTACTTTCCGCGACATGTATTTACCCACACTCATTCTGTACAACTTCATGGGTTCTCAGATGCATCCGAGAAAGCGTATGCCGCATGCGTCTATCTTCGCGTGCGGGGAGACATGGGTGCAGTGGATACTTACCTTCTTTTAGCTAAAACACGCGTGGCGCCTACTAAACGTATGTCCATACCGCGCCTAGAGCTCATAGCGGCCCTATTATTATCTAGATTAATGAAAGCTACCTTAAATATTTATGGGAATCGCATACCTCGCGATCAGATATACGGATGGTCTGACTCATCTGTGGTACTAGCGTGGTTGCGTTCTTCGCCACATGAGTGGAAAACCTTTGTTTCCAATCGCATAACAGAAATTATAAGTAATATTCCGTATTGCCGTTGGCGGCATGTTCCGTCTGCAGACAATCCGGCAGACGCGGCTTCACGCGGAATGCTTCCCGCCAATTTTTTACATCACAGCATATGGTTCCGCGGTCCTCACTTCTTAAAAAAGGATGAGGCTACTTGGCCTGTTTTCAAAGCTACTCAGACACAAGAAGAAAAACGTAACATTGCAATTGTTTCCAATCCATGCACTTCTTCTTCCACCAACGACGACGTAGAAATTATATCACGTTATTCATCCCTGGGTAAACTGGTACGTGTCACTGCTTTATTATGCCCTTTCTATAAAAAATGTAAGAAGGTTCAAACCCCTCTTTCTAAACATATTTCCGTAACCGAGTTCAATTTTACTTTGAATCGACTCATATTTCTTGTACAACAATCCGTTTTTCGTGATGACATTTACAACCTTTCTAAGGGAAAACTCCCATCAAGTCAATTAAGACGCTTAAATCCCTTTATTGACTCAAACAATTTTGTTCGCGTAGGTGGGAGGATACATAAGTCCCTTTTACCATATGAATCAAAACACCAATTAATCTTACCTAAAAAACATCCGTTATCGATTCTAATTATTAATTACACTCACGTATCTCACTTGCATGCCGGTGCGCAAAGTACACAATACATACTTCTACAAAAATATTGGATATTATCCGGGCGTGACGTCATACGGCAATGTATTCATCGCTGTGTCCGTTGTTTTCGAGCATGTCCCGTGCGCCAGCAGCCCAGCATGGGTCCATTGCCTGCTTCACGTTTACGACCCGAACGACCCTTTCTTAAAACCGCCGTTGATTTCGCTGGTCCTTTTTACGTTCGAGCTAACAAAGTGCGAAATGCAAAAATAGTAAAATGTTACGTCTGTGTATTTGTATGTATGTGCGTTAACGTTAAGGCCATACACCTCGAAATAGTTTCGGAACTTACAACAGAGGGTTTCTTAGCGGCACTACGTCGCTTCACGTCTCGCCGAGGTTTATGCAAGGATATTTATTCCGATTGCGGTAAGAATTTCATCGGCTGTGACAGGTACCTAAAGGACTTGTATGTCTTCCTACGGAATGACACTGTACAAGGCGCGCTCCAGAATAAGACTCTGGAAGAAGGAATAACATGGCATTTTCAGCCACCGTATGCAAGTCATTTTGGTGGCCTCTTTGAAGCGGGCGTCAAAAGTTTTAAACACCATTTTCATCGGGTAGTAGGTCCTCGTATCCTAACCTATGATGAGATGCATACCCTATTATGTCAAATAGAGGCAGTGCTAAACTCGCGTCCGCTATGCATATTGAGCTCCGATGCGCAGGATCCCCTCCCTCTAACTCCGTCTCACTTTCTGATAGGTGAACCGTTAACAGCTATCCCCGACGTTTCACTTGTGGATGAAAATCCGGGTAGATTATTCAGGTGGCGTTTGATACAACAATCGGTTCAACATTTCTGGAAAAAGTGGAGCTTAGAGTATTTGCATGAAATTCAACAACGTGGCAAATGGTTCACCAATCGTGGAAATCCGGTCCGTGAAGGCATGATTGTGGTAGTATGCGATGATAACCTTCCACCTTTACAATGGCGACTTGCGCGTGTACACCATCTGCATCCAGGTTCTGATGGGATTACGCGTGTTGTAACTCTCCAAATTGGGAAAACATATTTGAAGCGACCAGTTAATAAAATTTGTCCACTTCCTATAGAATAATAAACGTATATAATGATTCATATTCCTTATTTTACTTTCTTTAGAAATAACTTAAATATTTGTCCGTAATTTTAAGATATAGTTTGATATTTACTAGGTTTAACTTTACTTATACTCCTTACATTTTTTTTTATCAAGGGCTAGTTTGTATTACAGATTTGTTTAGATTTAGTTAAAAGATACTGCGTACTTTTAAGGTGAGCGGCATGTTCCGTATTTGATGTATTTATTTTCTTTTCATTAATGGTTCGGTATAATTTTATAACTAGAAATAGTACAATTTGAAAGGAAAACATCTCGTCTTACGTATAACATTTCGAATAAATATTTTTTCTTACTGGCAAGCAAACTTTAACTTTGAAGCGAGCAACCCTTTTTTCAACTACACCCGCAACGACCACTAGTAACGGCCAACTTCCTCGTCAACGCAAGCATTAACGCTTTTGACGGTACCTTGTACGCGCGCGTTCCGTTACCAGCAATAGATAAGATCTCATTTCCCTGCTCCATCGAATACTAAGGCAGCTTTCCATACCTGACCTGTGGATAAAAGAACAATAGTGGACACATTCGGCCAGAAGATACATCACACCGGGCCGGTAAACGTTGGGCAGCTCAGAAATTACCCAGGTGAGTGTTTGCCAGGTCTTATGTACATAACAGACCACATACATACCCTTCGGCAAATTGTACAGAAGTCCGAAGAGTACAATTTGCCACTATGTCTGGCGTATGTGGACTATGAGAAAGCCTTTGATTCCGTCGAAATTTGGGCTCTAGCCATCTGATAGTACGCTGTATGTGAGGGAGATATATTCTCCATGAGCTCACTCCTTTGGAGGTCTCAAAGTTCGGATAGGCGGAAACGGAGTTCTCGTTGAAGACGATTGGCCGTACGCCTATATTCGGGTGTGGGATATTTTGCTGCTCTCCGGAAAGCAGCTTTTTTGACTTTTAATAGGTTGCTAATATGTAGGGGAAGCCCACTATTATTAACAACCGGGACAACCCTTTCATTCTCCTTAAGGGAGGAATTAATAAGGGTTGAGGGTGAATCGACCGCGGTGTCGATTTTTTCGGGACTGTCTAAGTTTAAGTCCGACGATAGGGAGATGGGGGAATCCTGTGAGTCCAGCGCTTTAGCTAGGGACTCCTTGAAACCCTTCCAATTAGTGAAGGTTTTAGTGGGTGTTAGGGGGGGTGGTTGATGGCCAAGAATAAGGGAGACCGGTCGGTGATCGGATCCTATATCGTGTAGTGTCTCGATTGACCTGAGGTTGAGAGAAACTCCTTTGAGTAACGCAAAATCTAGTAAATCGGGGGCGTGGTCGGTGTTATCGGGATAGTGCGTAACACCGAGTGGACTGTGGACAGTAATGTCAAGAGATTGCGTTATTTCAAGCAGTTTCTTGCCACTATGGGAAGTAGAACGGCATGTCCATTCAGTATGTTTGGAGTTAAAATCTCCAAACATAATGACTGAATTGCCTAGAGATAAGATGGCCTCAAAAACTCTTTTGAGGGGGAGGGTTCCACTGGGGATGTAACAGGAGGCTATGACTAAAGATTGATGTCCCGTCATAGCTAACATGCAAACCGTGGCTTCCATATTGGTAAGCTGTGGAGTATTAATGTGCGAGCAATGAATTGTCTTCTTATAATAAATGGCCGTACCGCCGCCCTGTTATTTCATTGGTTTCCTGTAAGAGGAGGTAATCGGCTTCGCGATCTCGAAGGAAGAGCTTAAGTTCTGGGAGGTTAATTCGTTAAATGAAACAAGCGATAACCCTTTAGGCTTGACACGACCGTAACATTTAGGAAGAGCGGATTGCTCTGTCATTGTTAAGTTAATTAAGTTAACTTATCTTACAATGAACGCAAAAGATTATTATGCTCTACAAGAGCGAGGAGACGGTCTTGAGGGGACCGAGCAGCGCGCAATTTGCGCGCTAATACATCGACTTCACCGATGTCGATGTTCCTTATCGCGGCGTAAACCGTGTTAAGGTCATCGACCATTGAGGGCTGTGGTTGTTGCGGGGCGGAGGTTGTCCGCGGTGGGTCGGCCTTTTTGGGGCCCCAGGGAAATACTGGAGGCTGCGAAGGCTGTGCAAATCCCGACCGGATCAAGTCCGGCAAACCGCGCCGCGATACGAAACGGCCCAGCGTGGCCTAGAAGGCTTCCGTGCTGAGGGCACTTACAAGTTCCAAGTGAACGGCCTTAGTGGAGAGGCACACGAAGACGCAAAGATAGGCCTTATGCGAACGCGCGTTACGAAGGTTAGAGGACTTGACGAGGAAGGGGCCAGCAAAGTCTGTTCCGACTCCAGCGAATGGTTGGATGGCCCTGACGCGGTCGGGCGGCAAGTCGCCCATCATAGGCCGCGATATGGTGGCCTTCAGTTTATAACAGGATATGCACTTAAAGATGACGCTCCGAATGGTGCGTCGGCCAGCCAAAATCCAAAACTCCCGCTGCAGAATAGCCGAAAGAGCGTTACACCCAGCGTGGGCGTTCTTAACATAATGGTGGGTTACCAGCAACTGGACAAAGGCGCCGTCCTTGGGGAGCAGCAACGGGTGTCGAGACCCGTACGGCAGTTGAGAATTTCTCAAACGTCCACCAACGCGCAGCATCCCAGCGTCGTCCAGAAAGAGGTTCAGGCGGGCCAGAGCGCCCTTGATAACGGAGCCACGATTCAAGTTTTCAATAACGGGCTCAAAATGCTCCGCTTGGACCATACGGGTCCAATGCAGCAAAGCTTCACGACGCTCGCTAGGGGACAAAACGCAATCAGAGAGTCGGTTGGACGGGTCTCTCGAATTGCGGACACAGCGGTGCAACCAAGCAGTCACTCCTAAGAGCTTGTCGAGAGAGCTGTACCGTTCCAGAAGAGAGAGATCCCGAGTGGGCTTATCCTTGCCCACTCCTACTCGGGCTCGTAGGCCCGGCAATTCGGTAGGTTCGGAGTAATTACCCTGGGGCTAGAGTGACTGAGACTCAGATAACCACCCACCACAGTGGGTGGTCAACCAGCGAGGGGGCCTCACAGCCGCGAGAAGCGCAGTCTGCGGGATTCAACTCCCCTGGGATATGTCTCCAGTTTAGAGAAGTCTCAGAACTCTGGATTTGAGACACGCGGTTTGCCACAAAGATCTCAAGATTGTGAGCTGCAGCTCTGAGCCAACAAAGTACTATCTCACTGTCCGACCATGCGTAGACGTCCGTAATGTCGATTACAGGCTTCAAGGACGAGTGAACGTGGTTGAGAAGTCACGTGAGAAGAGCGGCTCCGGACAGTTCCAATTTAGGAATAGTTAAGCGGGACCTAATGGGAGCAACCTTACTTTTAGCGAGTACGAGATGGATTGCAGTATGACCAGAAGAACTCACAGTCCGCAGATATACGACGGCCGGATAGCCTTTCTCAGAGACGTCGCAAAACCCATGTAGGGCAGCCCGGAACTTCCCTGGAGGGAAGAAGCACCTTGGCATGGAGACCCGGTTGATATCCGGAAGGGAGGAGACCATGGAGAGCCACTCTCGCAAGAGGGCTGCGCTAATAGGCTCGTTCCAACCCAACCCGGACCCTCTGCTTCTGAAGAAAGCACTTAGCCGAAAAGATGACCGGGGTGATCCATCCATTTGGATCGAAGGTGCGAGCTACTGTAGACAGCACGGAGCGCTTGGTCCATGCTTTGGGAGGGGGATCAAGTTTTACTCGATACGTGAAGGTGTCCTGAACAGGCTGATATTGAATGCCCAGCACAGTCAAAAAATTAGGATTTTCAGGGTGCTCGAACAGATGAGGGTCTTGTTAGTCCTCTCCTGGGAGGTCCTTCAAAATATGAGGGGAGTTCGACAACCACTTGCGCAACTCATAGCCTCCGGACTTCAGGATGGCAATTAATTCATCTCGCAAGACAAGAGCCTCCTCGACGGTGGAGGCGCCCGTACAAATGTCGTTCATGTAGACCGAAGTCTCCAAAATAGAAGCTCCCCGAGCGTATCTTAGGCGCTCTCTCTCAGTGAGTTCAAGGAGGGTTTGCATGGTGATATACGGGCTGGACCGGAGTCCATAGGTGGTGGTGTTCAACTCAAACACCTGTATAGGATCGCTGGGCTTCTCGCGTCACAATATCAGCTGATATTGACGGTCATCACGATGGACCACTGATTGTCGAAACATCATCCAAATGTCGGCTACAAAAACCACTTGGTGTCGACGGAATTGGGTCAAGATGTCAGATATGTCCTTGATCAGTTTAGGACCAGAGTGAAGACACTAGTTCAGGGACACACCATTTGACGTGGGGGCGCAGTCGTCAAAAACTACCCGAATCTTACTCTCAGGGGTCCTCAAGACCGCATGGTGAGGGAGGAAGTAGTGCTCCTGTGAACGCCATTCAAAGTTGGACGGTGACATGTGACCCAGCTCTTGATACTCGCGCATGAACTCGACATATTTGTCGCGAAAGGCTGGGTCGCGCCGCATGCGGCGCTCCATGGAAAGCAACCTCTTCTCGGCTAGAGCAGTAGATTGACCCAAAGAGGGACGTGAGTCCAGAAAGGGTAAGCGAGTGACGAAACGACCGTCGACCCGCCGGCCGGTATTGTTCTGGTAGAACAACTCGCACTCACGGTCCAGAGGGTCGACTCGAGCTGCATGTGGTGGTTCCTCAATTTCCCAGAACCACTGGATGGCGTCCGAAAGGGACCCGCCCACAACGGAGAGCGGGTCGGCCGTCGGAGGGGGAGGAGACCACATAACCGGTTCAAAGAAGCTGTGCCCAAATATCGTGGACATGGCTGACAAGCCATCGGGCTGCAGAGCTCGTATCTCACCTAATAAGATGAACCCCAGGGCGTCGGCCCCCAGTAACAAATCTATAGGACCAGGTTGGGACCATCGAGGGTCTGCCGGTCTCAAACCCGACGCACAGCGGACCACGCCGTCGTTTATATATATATGTCATCGAGGACATTTACCTTGACTAAA